AGCTAGGATTGAGTAATTTATGCTAATTAAGCAATTGCAGAATACCTAGAAGATATTACAGCTGAAAAATTGCAATTTATTATGCAAACTCGTTATGATATCGTTATGAGTCAGCCATTTTTAATTCAATTTACATACCATCCGCCATCTTGTTTATCAACATTTGTGATAATCGCATGTTTGCAGAAAGTCAATTCATCATCTCGCTGTGCACGGTAATCATACAGTGCTTTCACTGTAACCTAGAATAGTGAGGAATAAAAACAACAAGTCATGAAATGTCAGACAACAGAACTTAAAATATATAATGTGCACCAGTCGACCATTTTATATGAAATCAATAAAACAAAGGGAAATGCATCTTGGTCTTGTGAAAGTTTGATTAAATTCCAGAATGGCAGTATTATTTAGCACTAAAATTTATTTGGATTATCAAACCTGTACATGATGTATGACATATGTGTGAAGTCATCAGAATGTGTTTTGTCAAGACATGTCAGAGATATATGTTCGGAAGAACAGATGCGCAGATAGGCAATTACAAGTCCCTGTTTTTGAACTTTGTTGGGATAAAACAATGCCTATTTTAAAAATGTTTAATAAAGGTAAAAATCACAGCTGCATTTATGTGTTGTTTGCGTTTATTTCAAATCAACCTACTTTTGCAACAAATGTATTTGGATCCATGTAAACTCCGGCAACACCGTATACAGCTCCTTCCTCAGGCTCCTGAAATAAACAGGAAAGTACTTATCCAATCTATTATCCTTTACCAGATCAAACTATGTGATTTAGGGGGCAGGAACAGATAATGTGGACTTTCTCCAAAGAGTGCCCTTGGTGTAAATAGGATGATAATGGTAAGCAATCATGCAAACAATCAAAACCCATCACACAGCATAAGCAACTCAAACACCAAATCACATCAAACCCACACATCCAATCACATCAAACCCACACATCCAATCACATAAAACCCACACATTCAATCACATAAAACCCACACATCCAATCATATGGAACCCAAACATCCAATCACATGAAACCCACTTATCCAATCACATGAAACCCATTTATCTAATCACATGAAACCCACACATGAAAAACACATGAAACCCACACATCCAATCACATAAATCCCACACATCCAATCACATGAAACCCATTTATCCAATCACATGAAACCCACACATGAAAAACACATGAAACCCACACATCCAATCACATGAAACCCACACATGAAAAACACATGAAACCCACACATCCAATCACATGAAACCCACACATCCAATCATATGGAACCCACACATCCAATCACATGAAACCCACTTATCAAATCACATGAAACCCAAACATCCAATCACATGAAACCCACACATCCAATCATATGGAATCCAAACATCCAATCACATGAAACCCACTTATCAAATCACATGAAACCCAAACATCCAATCACATGAAACCCACACATGAAAAACACATGAAACCCACACATCCAATCACATGAAATCCACACATTCAATCACATGGAACCCACACATCCAATCACATGGAACCCACACATCCAATCACATGAAACCCACTTATCCAATAACATGAAACCCACTTATCCAATCACATGAAACCCATTTATCCAATCACATGAAACCCACACAACCAAACACATGAAACCCACACTTCCAATCACATGGAACCCCATACATCCAATCACATGGAACCAACACAACAGATTATAGCATATGAAACTCAATCAACACAACTCATTACATATATATGGAACCCACATAAAACATCACATGCAGATACAGCAATTACAACACGAAACCCACACAGTCCATTACAGCATGTAAACCCTATATAACCATCATAGCAAGTAAAACCCACATAACTCATTATAGCATATAGAACCCACACAACCATTCACATCATATGAAACTCCATATGGAATCTGAAAAGCATTCTTATCTTACCATTCCAATTCTATCAACAATTGCCTGGTTCACTGGATACTTTAATTTCATTTTTCTATACAATGGATGTTTCTCATAATAATGTACCAGTTCAACCAAACTTTCAAACTGTGCTGTACCAATAGTAAACAACCTGCCTTCCTCCTTTATTCTACAGTGTTTAATCTTTCCCTCCGCTCTGTACAAAATAAATGAGAATAACAATATTTTAAATTCTGGCATGTAAAGCTACATGTATAAGACAATTCAACAGTATACTCTATGCAGACATCCTATCTGTATACTAGTATACAGTCAAACATGTGTATAGCTATCCATCCACAGGACTTCATTAAAGGGATTTTTATAGAGAGTTGGTCTTTATATAGAGGTTGGATTGACTATTTGTCCAGAAAATAATGAAATTTATTTGTGTAGAGGAAATAAAAAATTGTTTTATTATAAACAGAATGCTAATTATTTTGTTCCC